AGGGTCGAGAAGAGGATGATCTAAGCAAATGTGTATGTTGCTGGAACAAGGTAGGATGGAAGATGATTTGCTAAGATGGACGCGGAAGCTGACGTACATTGAGCCTTTTCCTGGATATGTCTCGGAGCGAGAACAGACGCCAAGAGTCCGAGGCAGATGTCGTGTATAGTCACGCGCTTGGGCTGGCTGTCAATGCGTGCCTCGATTTCCTCGCGAGAGTCAAATCGCAGATCAAGCGCAGATATATGTGGATGATGAGATCCGTCAATCACAGCCTTGCGCAGGCCAGGAAATAAGATTTCGGCTTGAATACGCTTTCTGGCGATGTTGGCATGATGGTGGATTCTCAGGTCCATGTGCTTTTTATTTGCTTGGTTGTGCGTATGCGTATTATAGCGCAGCCAGAGGAGGGGCTCGTTCATCCGCGCCGTTCCTCCTTCGTGAATTGTGTGGCTTTTGCATGCGGCTTTGCATGCGTATACGTAGATGTGCCCGCGAACAATCTCGATTGGCCGGCTGGCAGCAGCAGGCAGCTAGCAGAACACGCAAAGAGCGGCTTATTCAAGATTGTGGGCGCGCTGCTGATGCGCGCCTGCTCTGTGTTAATTGGATGACGCGTGAGGCGCCATGCACGGCGCGTCTTGCGCGTATAGACGCGACTTTGTTCGCCGTTTGGCTCGCATGTTGAATGATTCGTGATGGAAGGGGACGTGGACGTACGTGTGCCTGTACCTATATACCGCTCGATCCAGAGCAACCTCTTCATCCACTCATCGAACGAGCCCTTTCAAAGAACGTTCAGTCCTCCATAAAGCATAGCACATCGTTCCTACTTTGTCCGGCTGATTCGCTCTCCGACTAATGCCATAGTCGTTTCGTGGCCTTGCCAAATCTTTACGCGCGACCTGCTGGCCCTCCGATCGCGGACCTCTCTGATCAGCTCTACAGCCCGCGCTGAGCAGGAGCAGTCCTCAACAAGCGTCATGTCACAGCGAACTCCTTCAGCCGAACCTCGCGAGGCATTTCTTGCTCTTGAGGCAGTGGAAGGTCTGCTGGAAAGTCACGCGGCAGAGTCGGACGATGAAGAGATTCCGCCTCTACGCTTTGATCGTCATCCAGCTTCATCCTCTACTCTAGCAGCGAAGAGCTCTCAACGCTTCGGATCTGGCGCTTCGTCGCCGCAAGATGCGCTCAACAACTTGGGACGCAGTCCCTCGCCTCTGAGAGATGGTGCGAGAAGTAGCATACATCCCATCACGGATCCGAGGGTATCGGCATTTGGATTTGCTGTCACAGACGCGACCACTGCTCAGGGACCTGTCAACCATGACAGAGCGCCCATCCGCATAGAGCTGGATGATGAGTATGCATTCGATGTGGACGCCGATCTGGCTATGGCGGAGGGAGAGCAGCATGGCGAAGCGCAGCTGCCAGATGAGCAGGAGCAGGAGCAGCCCCCTATGGATTTGGACGAGCAAGAAGCCGACGATGACGATGCAGGCTCGGACATTGGCGAACATCTCGCTAACCTGAGACGTGCTGCTGCCCAACTACGTGACGCGATGGTCGGGGAAGATGGAGATGGGGAGGCGGATGAAGAGCAACAAAGTCCCGTCAATGCACAGTATCCAGCTGTAGCAGGTCCATCAGTCGCCCAAAATGGCGGCGAGCCGAGCGACGTTGGCGAGCGCCTTGCTTTGCATGGAGTCGGCCGTAGAGCGCCAGCAGCTCAGTCTTCGAGCGAGAGAGAGGTGGAAGCCCGAGCTGTGGCGACCACGTCGACACCTGGGGCGCAATTCGATGCCCTCATCGGCATGGACGGCATTCCAAAGTACATCCCTGCAGGCACATTCGGCGCGACTGCCATGAACGGGGAGAGCATCAGATTTGAGCGACGCAGACGCATGCGAGGATGGAAAGTGAGTAATGCTTACACTTTCAAAGCGGTCGCAACCGATTCGCTGATAAACTTCGAGAGATTCTTCTCGTTCACATTGGCGGGTCTAGTCCGCACCGCCGCACTTTGGAAAGGGTAGCACAGGTCTCCTATCCGAACCAGCTTACAGACTGATACAGAAGGCGGAAATGGCAGCTGCGGAAGCCGTCGTGCAGAATGACGAGCGCTTGGCCGCGAGAAGAGCCAAGCTAGCCGCAGCTCAAGCAAAAAGGAGCGCCAATGCGATCGAGCAAGGTGGCGTGTGGGTGGAAAAGTATCGACCCAAACGCTACACCGAATTGCTCGGCGATGATCGCACCCATCGCGACGTCATGTCTTGGCTCAAATCCTGGGATGCTTGCGTCTACAAACGCAAAGCCAAGAAGCGCGTGCGTGATGAGATTCATAATGGTGCGAGCAGCTCTGGATCAGGGTACTACGCTCGAAGAACCGAAGCGTACAGCGATGCGTGGAACAGACCTGAGCAGCGCATCTTGTTGCTCTCTGGTCCACCTGGACTCGGCAAGACTACGCTAGCCCACGTTATTGCCAACTCTTGCGGCTATGCGGTGCACGAGCTGAACGCTAGCGATGCTCGAAATTCCGCTGCGATCGAGGATAGGGTCAAGGTGGCTCTCGAAAGTGGCGCGGCGCTCGGAGATCATAGACCTACTTGTGTGGTGATCGATGAGATTGATGGAGCTACGGGAGGCAGCGGAGAAGGGCCTAGCTTTATAAAGAGTCTAGTAAAATTGGTAGAGGTTGGAAATGCTATCGGTGCTGCGAACAAAGGCAGGGGCAAAAAGAAGAAGCAACAAAGACCTTTGCTGAGGCCTATCATTTGCATCTGCAACGACTTGTGAGTGGGTGACCCTGATGCACCAGACCATCGAGTGCTGACTTGACGTGCTTCGCTCCCGTGATCATCAGGTATGCGCCCGCCTTGAGGCCTTTGCGACCACTCGCGAGACTCGTCCGGGTCGGCAAACCAGCAGCGAACCACCTTGTGGCGAGGCTGAGGACAGTGTGCGAAGCAGAAGGTCTATCGACAGATACGAGGGCGCTCAACCTTCTGGTCGAACTCACCGACTGCGATGTGCGCTCCTGCTTGAATGCATTGCAGCTGGCAAAGGCCAAAGGCAACACGCTCGAGGCTTCGCAGGTTAGGGACAAGGAAGGCAATGGACTAGCAGTCAAGGATGGCGGTAGTTCTACCGCCAAAGTCTTCGAACTGCTTTTCCGCACGCCTACGCCCAAGGAACGAGCTAGAGGGATCGAAGCTAAGGACGGGCACGAAACGATGAGCCGCATCGTGGATGAGGTGACTTCCTGCGGAGAGCAAGAAAGACTGCTTCATGGGTGTTTTGAACATTATCCGACACTGAGATTGGTCGATGACGGCTTTCTGCGGTTCAAAAAGATACACGACTGGATGGCTTGGAATGAAGCCGTGCATGCAAAAGGTTGGGAATTGGCCACGCATGAATTGGCGGGCTACCTGCCATGGGCTTTTGCTCCCTGGCACTTTTTGTTTGCCAACACTGCGAATGAGTTGCCGGGATTTGCAAAGGTCGATTACCAGGTAGGTCGGGCTCGGAGAGCGCTTGTTTGCATCACCCCGTTGCGCTTCTGACTCGAGATTCCTACTTTCCGTCTCAGAATCACCTCAAGCGCACGGCGTTCAATGAGATCGCGGCCGAGCTCTACACGTCTTTGCCACCTGGTCTCAGGATCATGTTTGGCAAAGAGGCAGTCGTCACAGAACTCGGACCGTCTTTGATGCGCATGCTTAGTCCCGACTTACGTCCAGTGAGTTCGATTCTCGCTTTGTACTACCCAATCGGTGCCAGAAGTTGACACCTTCTGAATCTGCCGCACAGATCAATGCGCAGATTACTCGACCCGGAGAGAAGGAGACCTTAGCTGCTGTCGTTCAGATCCTCATATCGCTAGGCTTGTCTTTGCAACAGGACAGGACGGAAGAGGGTCAACTGATCATGCGCCTCGAACCGGCTCTAGACGCTTTTGTGCAATACGAAGGGAAAAGATCCAAAGAGGTTGGACCTGCAAGGTATGCTATTCGCTCGGCCATTGCGAAGGAGGTCGAGGCTGTCAAGATGCGCATCAAGTCCTTGGGTGCGAGCGCAGCCGTGGACGCAATGGGCCAGCCTGTGAGGCACGAAGAGCTCGCTGCCAAATCGGCCGCGGGCGCAATCGCGGTCTACAAAAACAGCAGAGATCCTACGCTGCTCGACTCAGGCGCACTTTCCAGCACCTCCTCCTCCTCCACACTTACAACGACGACGCGCAAAGTCGCCGTGGATTTCTTTGGTCGCAAAATAATTCCCACCGTAGCACCTCCAGCTCGCGTTGCTCCTGAAAAGTTGGCAGAGATCCGATCGGATCAAGCAGCTATTCGGGAGACGGAAGCGCAGGTGGCCAAGAAGAAGGCTGCGGCTGCTCAACAGGCTGCACCTTTGCCGTCCCTCTTGCTCGAGAGGCGCGCTGCGAGAGCTGCTGCTGAAGGTGCTGCCAATCCGCATGTTCGCTTGCCACCTGCAACCGGAGGAGCACCCGACGCTAAGAGACAGCGATTGCAAGCAGCGTGAAATGTAGATTCTGCCTCGCTTGTACGCGACCAGCGCTTGAGCATCCACGCATCCCAATGCAGTTCATCGTCTTCCTTGCAATTCATCACCGTGCACACCACAAACGGGAACGAGACATTCGTCATGGATTGAACTAGGCAAGCAGTGTCCGTACAGAGAGAGGCGAGGGGATTTGTGGGGGCGGGAGTGGGAATTGGCGAAATCGTGAGACATGGAGGTGAACGGCATTAGTAGCAAACAAACCTAGGTTGAATCTGCGCACTGATGAAGAACCAGAAATACGATGAGACACGAAGCGAAGAGAGAGAGAGAGAGAGAGGGACGGGGTGTGAAAAGACAAGGTCCGAGAGCTGTCAGGTTGCGTCTACGTAAAGGACAGAGCTGGAGAATAGCGGGGCGAGTTGTGAAGGGAGGTGTTGGAGTCTTCAGTTGGGCTGGCCCTCGTGAAGCCGGGCCTGTCGAAGCTGCGAAGAATCATTACGTGATCGCAGGTGGCGAGAAGACTATCAAGGAAGGGTTAGGTCCAGTACGTTTCCGTGTGTGAAGTCCGTACGATCTCAGCGCTAGAGGCCGAGAGACATTCGAAAGGCTGAGTGAGGACCGCGTCGACTTGTCAAAGTCGCGGGGCTGGAGGACACCTAGTGGTTTTGTCGGGACTGGCGGCCCGTGTTTGATCCAGTGGGAGAGGTAGCGCTGCTGGGCGCAACTGAGCCTCGACGCGCTCCGCGCTGCACTTGTCGAACGCCCTGAGACGATGCGACGGGACCATCATCAACGAGACTAAAGCCTCTGGATTGAGGTCGCTCCCGAGGCGGTCTTTGCGAGCCGGGGGGTGCGGGTGCCCCAGCTCCTTGCGGCAGGCCGAACGAATTGTCTTCCTCTGGCTCAGCTGTAAAGCCTTGCGAGAACTGCGCTTCGCTCAGACCCGGGTATCGCTGCTCACTGGAGACGCTGCCGTGTCGGATTTGCTGCTCTGCTGTCAGGCCCACGCCAGCCATTGCGGGCAGCACACCTCGTCCATCGTTGGGGTCTGGAGAGCTGGCCCCAGACGCCATCATTGGTCTCGACTCGTCCTCTGCACTGTACACCGAGGCGTAATTCTCGTATGGAGCGCGCGACGTGAGAGAAGTTTGGCTAGTCGACTGGGAAGACGCGATCGGCGATGGATCGCGGGGTCTCGGAACCGTGACGGAGCCAGGGGCGCCTATGCTAGGCAAGCCGCGAGCCTTCTGCGCAGCATCTGGCCCAAGCGGTGCCGGCAGCTCGAGAAGAGGTACCGCATCAAGTCTGGCTCTTGCACCGCCTGTGG